AAACATTTCCCTTCTACTAACCCGCTTCATAAGGTCTTTAACCGCAACACAGTCAAAGTTAGCTACTCCTGCATGGAGAATGTCAAAACCATTATATCCCGACATAACCATCGCATGTTAAAGAGAAACCCTACCCAAAAACCTGTCCAATGCAACTGTAACAAACCAGATGAATGCCCACTAGACGGGAAGTGCAAAGTAGACAACATCGTCTATAAAGCGACAGTGACAACAACTGATAACGGAAATACAAAAGAATATATTGGAATGACGGCCAACCCATTCAAGGAAAGATACGCGAACCACAAAACGTCATTCAACCTCTACAACCACTCGTCTGATACAAAGCTTTCCAAGTATATTTGGAGTCTGAAGCAAAGTAGAAGAAATTATAGCATCAAGTGGTCCATCTTGAAAAGAGCTGCTGCGTATACGCCTGGTGGAAAACGATGTGGCCTCTGCTTGGAAGAGAAGTTATGCATCCTGAAAGCGAAAGGGAACAATTCACTGAACACGCGATCAGAGTTTTATGCGAAGTGCTGTCATAAGGAAAAATTTAGCGCGTGCAAATTCAAACCAATGACGCAAGACAAGCCTACGCGTCAGCAACCGACCGTTGATGCTGACGAATCAAACACAAACTGAATTAATTGCCTGAAGATCGTCTTGAATAAGGCGTGAAACTTGAGTAGCAATAATTAATTTTAAGATATAAATATATATATATATATATATATATATATATATATATATATATATATATATATATATATATATAGTAGTATATATATAGTATATATATATATGTATATATAGTATGTATATATATATAGTTCATTGTATAGACTTATGCGCGCCTCGTACTTAGCGAGTGTTGCTGCTTTGTCGAATGTCAAACAAAGACATAAAAATATGAAATATATATATATATATATATATATATATATATATATATATATATATATATATATGTTTTCGTTTATTGTTGTAACTGATCTATTATATACAATTAAAAAGGATAAATACACTTAATGAATACTATCCAAGGGAAAAGGAACTTAACGAATACTATCCAAGGGGAAAAAGCTGAGAAACAAAATGTTCGAAAGGCCTTAAGGGTAAATGGTTACACATCTGCTTTTATAAACAGTGTTGCAAGTAAACCCGAAAGTTCGAACAAACCAACTTCTGTTACTGAGCCCAAAGGCTATGCATGTATCCCATGTGTCAAAGGCATTTCTGAGAGAGTCAACCGAATCTTGACTGGTGTCAATATCAGAACAGCGTATAAGCCACTAACAACATTGGGCGGAATATTCAAAAAACCGAAAGACAGACCATCAGAAACTCAAGTCAAAGGCATTGTTTTCAAATTCAAATGTAAAACATGTAATTTCTCCTGTACATTGGAGAAGGTAAAAGATCATGGAAATCCCGTTGGGCTGAACATAAACCGGGAACAAGACCGCAGATTGAATCGGCTATAAAGGAACATGCAGAACAAACTGGACACGAAGTAGGCTCTGGGGATGTAGAAATTTTAGAGAGGGGCGTACATAATTATGATAAACGTATATTTCTCGAGTCATTACACTCAACAAAGGAGACTATGGCAGTTAATGAGCGTAAAATTTTCCCGCAAACTTATTTGCCTTTATTGCATACCTTGTAAATTTGCATACGCTAAGTATTTAAAACTTGTTCAAATCAACTTGACATTAGTTAACTCTGAGGAAGGTCGCAGTTAGCGACCGAAAATTCAGTATACTTTTTATCTTTTTTAATTGTATATAATAGATCAGTTACAACAATAAACGAAAACATGTCTCTTACTGATCGCACAAGCAGCATATATATATATATATATATATATATATATATATATATATATATATATATATATATATATATATATATATATATATATATATATATATATATTCCCACACGTGAATTTAGAGTATTTTACATAACAATGAAAATATTGATAATATTGGGAACTATACACTACAGTACATGCATATATTTACCTATGTTGCAGTGGATAATTCTAGCTTCGGATTTCACAACTATTAATTGTTTTTAAAACTAAGCAGGCTTTCAAACGACATTGTTAGTGAAATAGCTGTTATCTCACAAACAAGATTTGCCTCCTCTGTAATGTGCAGTGTCGCGCAAGTTAGACATTGCGCAAATTAGTAAATTGACATTCAAGGTCAGTATGGGATTTTCCTAGACGAAAGATTAGCGATAAGTGTAAAATAACTATAATCTGGTTATATGTTGTGATGTATTTTTACATGTAGTTTTACTTGGTTGTCATTTTATATTGTTGCAGTTCCGCCAGTTAATTGGTTGAATTATTTTTGTATTAATAATAAAGGCCTACTCTAGGGCGGTAAATCGCCTTAAATCGCTGCGATATAATGCGATTTTGGGCGATTTTAGGCGATTTAAGGAAAAACTGGGACTTTCAAGCACTGCGATTTAATGCGATTTTAGGCGATTTAGGGCGATTTAATAAGCAAATAATTTAAATTTTAGGGATTGCAATTTAGGTATTTTCAAAGGAATTGAATTTCATATTTTGCCCCAATGTGGGGAGTGAGCTGAATAATGTAATGTTTCCACACACATATGCATTGTATGAAGCAAAATACAATTATTAGAACATGTATGCACATTTTATATAAAGCTAGGTTAACTAATTATTATATTTAACCTGATTTACATATAAAGCTCAATAATCATGGACTTTTCATCCATTCTGTAATTAGAAGCCATTGGGGTTCATTCTCATGACTACATTATATACCACAAATATTGTAAACAGTTAATATACTCTACTTAAGGGGCATGAACTACACATGTCTTAAACTTTAATATTGTTAATTTATGTCGAGTTAAAAATTAAAATTGCAAAATATAATAAATATTTGATTTCAAAAAAAAAAAACACAAGGGGCAGAGGGTAGAAAGACACAATGTATTTATACAGTATAACTGAATAAGCTATATTCCTATAAATTACCTTGTCACCCTTGTAAGTGAAATTGTCTTGTTTTGTATCATGTTAAAACTTCTTTATTTATCTTGCATTTTGTTTAAACTGTTTCAATCTCGTGCTTTCTTCATGCTACAAACATGTTTTATAAAATTTCACGCATTCGGAAACTGTCGGCGTAATGCCGTAATGTTTAAATTACATGAAGTATATCGTATATAAATGGTAGGAATTCTAAATTATTTTAAAATTAAAAACAAAATAATCTAAACAAATGGCGCAAAACAACAACAAAAGATCTATTGTATGATATGTACGATGTAATAATTGTTTTACTGTTTATTGTATATACAGGTCTGGAAAATTTAATAGATGAGAGTTGCAAATCGCTCATAACCTCACGTATATTTTTCGTTTGATAGCCAGCCAGTATAATTATAACTAGGAGCTAGAGTATAAGCATGCACATGTCGAAGTACAACCAATGTATACAATGCAGTGCTTGATCTTACATGCAGCAGTGCACAAATTACACGATGACTTTATTATATAAATCAGCACTCGTACTCATTGACTTTCGTAGTCTCCTACTGTTGTTCTAGCCATGTGGATTATAGATTAATTTGTAGCCCAACCTCCATAGTCCATATAAATTGTAGCCCAGCCTCCATTTATCCCAATAATGAAATTAACTCATTCTGGTAACTAGCTCAATTTTGTTGCTGGTAGTGTATTTGATATATGGGTCTTTTAGATCCCAGAATTACCTAATTATTGTAAAGTCTGCATATCTTTTAGATCCCAGAATTACCTAATTATTGTAAAGTCTGCATAAAGCAGAAAAGGGCTCTGTTTTTGTCAATGACCGGTGCCTATTGAGTGACCAAATATTGTCAGCCCAATCCACATATGTTATTGCTAATTCATGTTGCATTACTTTTGATTGCGAAGCACCTGGATTACATGATTTGCCCGTAAATAGCAGCAATTGATAAACTTGAGTACATGGACTAAATGTATCAAACCCAGAATGCACGTTGGCGATTTTTAGCGATTTTAGGCGATTTTAGGCGATTTAAGAGAAATTCGACAATTTTAACCGCGATTTAATGCGATTTAAGGCGATTTACCGCCCCAGAGTAGGCCTTAATAATAACACTTTGAAACACTAAATACTCAGTATAATCTTTTATTTCAATGCAAATTATTTCTATATTTCTGCAACAGAGCATGCACAAGCATAAATGTATATGCTATAATACATATATACATACATTTGGATTTTGGAATATATGATATATGTAATTGGAACAGCAGAACTACTATAACCGGAATCAATGTCTAAGCGCATTTTACAGCGAAAATATACGCTTACTGTCAAAACACAGTCACCGACCATTGGTAGTAAGCTGCTATGCCACGTTTCCAATTCGGGCACCTCGTGGGAAGAGTCGAATAGGAGTTCGTTTAGTTTTCAACCACGCAAGAGACCATAACTTTACACTTTAACTTTTAATAATCGTAGCGAAATGACATACAAATTTACATAAACACATATAGTCCTCAAATGCGCGGTGAAACTACATAAAAATAAAGGAAAAATACACACTATAGTCTGACGACTTACGTTTATAATGTCCCCAAAATTTAACAGGAAAATGTAAAATATAGCTTGTCTCTATGAAATCTGATGAAATACAACGTTCGAAAAACGTTATTCCCGTTGCTAAGGCAACCAAACCCGCGCGAGTCCTGGCCTCCACCGTTCGTATATCGACGACAATTCCCAACAACCCGACTCACGCCACGTACTTCTCCGAGTCAACATCACACTTCTCGCCCAAGGATATTCTATCCTTGTCATTGGTAGCAACACCACTATTTCGCTGATAGGACGGTAGACTATCTTCCGTTGCCCTTCTTTGAACACCATGATCTTGACTTTCCTCTCTTTTCCATATTCGCTCGTTAATGCTTCTACTATCTTTCCCATGGGTCACTCGTTACGGGATACGTCAACTCGTATGCTCGTGAAGGGTGGCCTTGGTTCGATTCGGTCTTTTGGAAGGTTGGCCATATGCTGGGTGAGCATATTCCCTCTCAGTTTTCTACATGTCAGACAGGAATTCAGGATTCTAGACACCATTCCGTGGCCGCCGACGACCCAATAACCAGCTTGCCGTAGGGTTCCGTGCGTGATCTGACGGCCTTGGTGGTAAACCTTGTGGTGATAATGACGGACCAACAACTCCGACACGTGGTGTTTCTTTGGCAGAATTATTGGATGCTTCTCCTCAAACCCCAAATCTGATCGATGTATACGTTTTCCGACTCTAAAAACACCGTCTTTGTCGAGGAAAGGATCCAAACGAAACAGGCTGGACTTTCGTAACACCGTCCTTTTTTCTCTCAAGGACTGGCGACTTTCTGGTTCGTTGCCTCTCCTCCTTTGCAGTACGCTGATTTCGTTCGCGAAGGCTTCTTCTTGGGCTGTTCGAATTATCAAGATTTCAGCTCGTTTAGATGCGTCTAGGGTAGGACCGCCGTTGTCTCCGCTTTCGGTCGTCTCGTGGTCGTGCTGTGACTTTTGTGGCTCCAACTTTATTTTGAATCTTTTCGTTCTCATGACGAGTTTTGCAATGGCTCGCTGAAAAGTAGACCATTCTGAAAACCGATTGAATCGTTCTGATCCTAATCCGAAAGCCCTCTGGGTGCTGGTGGCGTGGTCTTTTACCTCTTGTCTGACTTCTGGATCGTTCACGTCGATATCTCTCTCAGATTCATCGATTGTTGAGGTGGTAGGCGAGTTTGACTTCAAGAAGGAGGGTCCTCTTAACCAGTCGGACTCTTGTAGTACTTTAACTGTAATACCCCGTGTCGCGAGGTCGGCAGGGTTCGTTGAAGTGGCTGGGACGAACCCCTTCCTGAAGACTTCCATTGGCTGGGTTC